TCACACTTACTTGGCGCTCAGTTTTCTTTTCGAACACATGCGAGAACTGTTTCTGTAGGCTCAACAATCAAGGGGCTGTCGAGGACCAAGAGAGAGCACTAGACTCGCTTCCTGTTTCTGCATATCCAGGTCTGGTACAGGTGGCACCGAACCCAGCCATCTCCAGGGATGGCAGGGACTAACCGGGGCCAGGAATCACATTATACTCTTTGGAGAAGAGGAACGCTGTCAGTGCCTTTTTAATACTTAGAACTCTAGGGCTAGAGGGGGCTTTAGAGATCCCCTGATTCAAAACCTGCGGGGTTTTTTTGTTTTGTTTTGTTTTGTTTTGTTTTGTTTTGTTTTGTTTTGTTTTGATTACAAGAAACTAATGCCCAGAGAGCTTAAGTCCTGCCTGAGGCAGCATCAGTGGGATCAGAGTCCTGCCCTACCCCGGCTCCTTGCACTTCTTCCTGTATTAAATTGTCTCTACACCTAGTGCCCACCTAAATCCCCCGTACAGTTTTCTTGATCCTTCTGATGAATTTCTCTGCACTCATCGAAAAGGAAAGAGCTAAAAAGAGGAGCAATAAGTCATCAGCGAAGGGAGGGCACTGTGTTAGAGGAGGTGTTGTTGGGCCGACCCTCGCATGAATCTCGCCTCCGCCATTCACTAGCTTTCTAGCCTTGGTCATTTTATTGAATTCTTGATTCAGTTTTTGAATCTGTAAAAAAAAAGGGGGGGGATTATTAGGATTAGATATAATATGGGCAAAATGCCCAGCACATAGGAGGCACCTAACAAATGATAACTAGAATTATAGTTAAAAGATCTGAAGAGGCCGTTGAAGAATAGGAGCCAGGAGCTCTGTCACTCACTCTTAAACGGGCCAATTATCTCCATCTGCTCTGCCTATTACCTTGAGCTAAGCAGAACTTGAGAGCTAGGCAGAACTTGACTTGAAGAATATGCTGAGAGTTGATTTAAACTATTGCATGTTCTGGAATTATGTGATAGAAATGAATTTACTTAAGTATTTTTCCTCAAAATGTTTTTCTGCTTATCCAATCTACCATAACTGTAAGGATTCTCTTCTTTGATCCACCAGAATTCCTCCTCATCGGGAGTCTAATAGTGGTCAGATCACAATTTTAAGACATTCTAGGAATAAAGCACTTAGAATTGTTTAGTTTGACAAAAGGATCAGTTGTGACTGGAGGACATTATAAAACTCAGGTGCTATAAGGAGATGACAGCCTCTGCATTTTCTATAAAAAATCTTGCTGGAGTTAAAAGGCAGGTACTCAAGGAAGTAGGAAGCTGAGTTCAAAACCAAAAACAAACAAAAAGTAGCCAGTATGAGATGTGTCTGCCTGTCTCAGTCAGTTCACAAAGTTGTCCTGTCAGAATTGCTCAGGGCAGAAGCAAGAAGAGTAGCTAGGCCTACATGATGTTCGCGTGTTTGCTTGTGTTAGAGCCAGTCCCAAGGGCTCCTTTTATATGTTTGACAGCAGAGAAACAACCCACTTGGTGCATCCATCTGGTTATTAATTTATTCAAAAACAATATTTAAGCTACTATGATAAACTGGGTTTCTCAATGACACTCATGTAAGAAATCTTAACTTTCTCTTTGTGGTAGGAATATTCAGATACTTCTGTTTCGTTCTCATGGATATATAATAGAGTTAAGGCTCTTCCACCGCTCTGTTATCTTACTTTTTTCTATTTGTTCCATTAGTTCTATTTCTCTTTTTTAATTTTAACTTTTGCCTTCTTTTGGATCAATTGAATATTTTTATTATTTAGGTTTCCTTTCTTTAAACTTATTAAGTAGACATTCTTTTATTATCTGTTTCATCGATAATGCCTTCCTAGAGATTATGACATGTATCTCTGACTAGTCATTGGTACTTCTTCCTCCTCCAGGACAATGCAAGGATTTTAGAAGTCTCAAATCTCATTTATCCACCTCTGATTTGTATACTATTGTTGTCATGGACAGTACTTTCATTTTCTCTATTTATAACCTTTATGGTATTATTACTTTATACAGTCAATATTCATTTAGATTTATCTCTATATATATCCTTTTCTTATTCTTTTTTCTTCCTACGGCTCAGAGCCACTATCTTGAATCATTTTTCTTTCACATGAAGAACACTCTTTTCTGTTTCCTATAGTTGGTGATAAATTTTCTCAGCTTTTATTTTCCTTAAAATTTATTTCACCTTTATTTTGAAAAATTATTTGGGAATTTGCCTTACTAGATAGCAAGACTTTTATTATGAAATTATAGGAATTAAAGCAATGTGTTTTGGACAGGGATAAAGAAAATTAAAGTGGAACAGAACAGATCTTATAATTGACAGAGCTAGAATCCTACTTTGGGCAATTTTCTTAGCCATCACCTCAACTAGGGCAGGAAGTGGGGATGGAGAAGATGGGTTAAAATATCAGATGGTTAAACATATTCATCCCCAATCCATTGATCTTACCACATTTTAACTGTTCTTCGCCCCCTCGATCTGTTTCTTCCTTCATAACCCATCTTGCAAACATTTGCAAACCCCTTGCCCTCTCTCCTTATCAGTCTCCCTTGGTAAAACCACAACCCTGGCTAATTTAAATTATCCAACTACTGCAAGTCTCCACTATGTAGCAAAACATGGCTGAAGAAAAAACATGAAACCATCTATCTGGTCTCACCAGTAAATGGCTCTTGACTATATACTTAATGTAAAAGGCATGCTTATTATTTATTAATATTTGTTATTTATTATCTACTCCGTGGATTGCAATATTCATAAGGACAATGATTTTTTCCTGGTATATCTCAACATTTGCTATCATAAATATTTCCTTAGTTCATTCACTCTTCCACTTTCCTAGATAATTAATTTATACCTGTTCTTTCTTCCAACTTTGATCATTCTTTCCC